AACTACTGGTCTCCAGCACCATTTTCTGTTTTCTGTTGTTTTGGTGTAGGTTCTTCTTCTTTGTCTTGTTCTTCTCTTGCTCTTTTTACTGGTCCTACACAGTAACAGAATTTTTAAGTTCACTACATAAGCATTACTCTTTTAATATTGAGCATAATTAACAAAAATAATTCTGTTTAAAAAGCAACAACTTCCTGGGGTGCCTGGGTGGCTCAGTCGGGTTAAGTGTCTGCCTTAGGCTCAGGTCATGATCCCAAGCTCCCCACTTAGTGGGGAGTGTGCTGCTCCCTCTGCCTCTGCCCATCCCGCCACTCATGCTCGCTGTCCTCTTTCTCTCAAATAAAATCTTTTTTAAAAAAAGCAACAACTGGGGCGCCTGGGTGGCTCAGTTGTTAGGCATCTGCCTTCAGCTCAGGTCATGATCCCGGAGTCCTGGGATCAGGTCCCGAATCGGTCTCTCTGCTCCGCGAGCCTGCTTCTCCCTCTCCCTCTGCCTGCTGCTCCCCCTGCTGTGCTCGCTGTCAAATAAATAAAATCTTTAAAAAATAAATAAGTAAAAATTTAAAAAGCAACAACTTCCCAACACCAATGAGAAGGCTTTCCTTTTAGTACGGATCTTCTGCTAAGCTTACCTTCCAAACATCTTTGTTTTCCACTTGTAAAGCTGTATAACTTGTACATAGTCCAAGAATGTCACTTATACAGAAGGTGAAAAACCACACTGCTGTTCTTTCCTACAAATAATTTCTCATGAAAGTACCAAAGGACTTAGAAAAACTTACCAGATGCACCATTTTGATCATGTTCCTCATCACTATCAAATTTAGTTTTCTTGCCCTGAAACTGTACTTTTCCTTTAGCAGACCCAGTCTGGGCAGCTTTATTTCCTTTTCCTTTTCCTTTAAATCTGCGACCTATAGGAACATAATTGGGAAATCCATAAGAAATGTTAAATCTCTTGTCACTGTCTCTGAACAAGCAAATGAGTTAAAATAACCAAGGGTCAAAGACAAATAGAACTCATGACCTTTTGATTTCCATTTGTTTAGAGATTCTTGTTGATCTTCTATGATTTTTTTCAGTGCTTCCTTTTCCACATCTCCTTCTAGTACTTCCCAGGTCACTTCTTTGTTCCTTAATTGTAGGTTACCACTATTTGCATCTTTGGCTTTATCCAGTGCTTCCTTAGCTTTTTCTTTAAAAAGAATTATCCCCTATTCCAAAGACAGACAATGAAAGCCACAACCTTAAGGTTTTTTTTTTAGTTCCATAGTTAATTCCTTCACTCAAAAATTTTTCCTACCCTGCAAACCTTCTCTGCCATTATCAATTTCAATGAATTATAACTGAACTTCAGTAAATTACCACAAAAGTTGCAGTCACTAATACCAACAGTTATTCATAGCATAATTCAGAAAATATCAGATGTACATCCAGTGATGGCAATAACAAAATGGAAAGTAAATAACCAAGTAAAAACTATTTCAGAAACACATTAATAAAAAAAAATTTTGTTTCTACTCCTGTCTTCTAAAAGTCAAGTTTCTATGGATTTTTAAACTGATTGCTAAAAAGCATACAAATGTTTCCCAACCTCTTTTGCTCCTCTGACAAAGTCTATCCATTTTATTTCACCATGACTTGAGAAAAGGATGTGCAAATCTTCTCTACAGGTCTGATCATCTAAGTCTCCTGAAAATTTCAGCAAGCAGCCAATCTTTTCTTCCAGAGATTTCTATAAAAACATACAAAGCAATAGAAAGTTTCTTAAAAGCAACCACAAACCAGAAATGGCTTAAATCACTCTATACCTAATACATGCAAAAAGCTAGAAACTAAAATGCTATTTTAAAGTAGTTTAACAGTTCATTTTCCTGTGTCATCCCTTGTTCTACAATGGCTTCTGATTTTAACTTAATTTCTTCAACAAGTAATATTTAGCTGTATGTATTAATTATATAAATCTCATACTAAGTTGTTTTCTCTGGATAGGTAATGATTTTAGGCAATATTTAGGCTATGACTTTAATACAATGACAACTATAGACTCGCTCACGTATTTGCTTCAAAAAGTCCTCACTTTTTATTCTCATACATTTGAAATACAGTTTTGGGTACCAATAATACATACTTACCATTTCAGCATTTTCTGCTAACTTTTGTTTTTCTTCTTGCTCTCTACAAAAGAAATGTTAATTAGAATGTTTCCATTTACTGTATGAGATAATTAAATCCTGATAAAGTTAATCTTGATCATGATCACACATTGCTGAATAACCAAAGCCAGTCGTTAGGTTTTCTGATTGCTCATGGCTAGAGTGCAACACAATGTGGCCCCCAGATTATCAAGGCAGCTTAAGATCTTAATGTTTCATGAGCAAAAGAAAAGCCTACTGCTACTCATTTCAGAACTCATCATCAAGCTCCACTTCCCAGAACCCCTAACTCTATCCCTGTTAAAGCTTTAAGGAATTAAAATGACTGGCTCAACGTACTTACTGTTTAGCTCGTAATTTAGCTTCCACTTTATTTTGCTTTCTTTCTTCATTTTTTTTTGCAAAGTAATCTTCCCTAAAGAACACAAAATACAGGGGCTGAGTTCATGAGAACAAAAATGAGAGAGCAAATTATTTTGAATGATTTAAGCACAGGAAGGAATATTACACTTTCTATCAACATATTACCTAAAAATTCAAAAGATGCCAAGGAAGTTAATAACAACTTTACTAAAAACAATTCACATTTCATAAAATGTATACCTTTTAAAAGCAAACACCTCAGTGGTTTTTAGTATATTCAGAATTGCACAACCATCACTACTATCTAATTTCAAAACAAAAAGAAACCTGATGTCCATAACAATCTCATTGATTTTATCATTCATGTACAGGAAAAAAAAGTAAACCAGGACTTATGTAAATAACTTTTCAAAAATTTTCAAAAATTTTCTACAGTGTTACTTTCACAAAAGGAGAAAATTCTATAATCTCTGAAACCCAAGAATAACAGCAATTATGAAAATCATGTTAAAAAATACTTTTGATAGTTAAAATTACACGATTCATCACAGTACATCTCTAAGTTCATCAGGTTTAGTACATGGCACTTTGCAGATTACATAATGTGAAAGTAGGGGACAATGGCCTAACTTTATCATAAAAATGCTCTGGTTTGTTCTAATTTTGGACACATACACACACACTAAAGAATGTGGTCCAAATCTGTATTAAATAATCCTTTGTACTAAACAAATGGAGGTATATATAGACTATGAGAAGAACAGACTGGAAACTGGACAGGGATTGATTCTCTAACCACATAGAAGACCAAATTTTACCATCTAGCTTGATTATATGTATTAGATGCAAAAAATCTCCCAAAACTTAATCTTTATTAACTGTTAATCATGAAAAGGTATTAAAAAACACTTCCTTAAGGTCTCAAAGGACTAGTAGTTTCCACTGAGCAAATTTCAAGTGTTTATCAAAGAATGCCCAAGGATACTAAAAATACTGTCCTTACACGGGATGCTATTCCATATTCTGTATCCCAGTGTGTCAATTCCATATAACTAAGTGGCCAAAAGAAACATCAGCATAAAGACTTACTTGAAAAGTATTAGCAGGTCTGTATCTTTATACTTCTGGCCAGGGGTGTCAACAAATTTCTTAGCAGATTCAATACTATCAAACACAGCAAA